GGAAGCTAAGAGGTTGAGGACGAGATCGCACCCTAAACCCGAAGTCCTCCATCTACAACACACTTCTTGCAGGTGCTATGGATACTTGCAATGATGTAACCCTACTTTGCGTACTTATAAACCCAGTTAATGTGAACTTTGAAGCCTAGGCCCCAAAGCCTGGGCCCCACAGTAACTCTTTGCTAATATCTAAACTTTTGGGGCACCGGGCTCTTTCTGCTTTCGGAGCGTCCGTCGGCGGGCCAACTGGCATGCTCGAGGGCTTGGGGCTTCAGGATCTTAAAGCTTTAAGGTTTAGGGAGTTTAGGGAATGAATTTCAGGTGTGCGGACTTTAGAGGGGCCTTAGGGATGTTGGAGGTTTGGGGATTTGATGATTATTCGTTGTCCGGCACAACAAAACTCCCTCGACAAGCCTGTCCTCGAGTCAGCTGCTGATGGCTGATGTGTATTCTTTGTCTATCATACCGGTGTTGCGATGGTCCTTCGTGGTTGTGGCATGTGTCGGCCAATCCGAAAGTTCAGCAAGGTGGCACTCTCTCTAAAACTGATCTTACCCGTGCCAGACCTCCCAGACCCACCGCCCCACCCTGAACTGCGCCTTTGTTTGTTGTTTTTCGTGGGGAGGCGGGGGGGGGGGTTAAGGCGGGGGTGTTGGGTGGTTGGGTGGGGGTGGTTGGGGGGGTGGTTGGGGGCATGGTTTGGGGGTGGTTGGGGAGGTGGTTGGGGGGGTGGTTGGGAGGGTGGTTGGGAGGGATGTGGGTACGGAAGCAGCCTAAACTAATGAAGACATACTCTCTCTCTCTCTCTCTCTCTCTACGTCATCATGCTGCTGGCACACGAGCACACATTACCAACAGCCCGTTGCAATCCCGCCAGCAGTGCCCGCATGTTGTAATCGGCTCTCCACTTGCCTTGGTTCAACTGCACTTCTAATGTGCACGCCACTGACTGGTCCGCATGCTCATCATCCTGCATGCTCATGCTCATCGTATGAGGAATTTTCCGTGTAGCCGGAGTTGGGCCGACATTAGCATGGCACAGGAACATGCAGGAGGCTAAGCGGCTAATCTAAGTCCAGATGCGGACCATGAACTTCGGCCGCCAGTACTGCTGCCTGACGCACAGAAGCGCTCTAGGAGAATTCATTTTATCGGCTTCTCACCCAACCCAAGTAAACGTAAAGAAGCCTGCCCACAAAAGTAGCACTTCAATGTCGACGCATTCAACCAGTTAGGTTCGTTAAACTGTGTCTTCCTACTATGTCCATGTCGGCAGAACTTCGAGGAGACGAAGCCTTTGCCAAGCCATGTTGACATGATCCTCGTCCAACATCACGCGGAGCCGTCGAAGGACCTGTCGAGAGAGCAGGGCCACTTAACCACACGATACGGGCTGCACAGTGGAAGGCGCAGTATACCGAAACACCGCGACAACCTGCACACTGCACTAAACCCAGCAAATCGAGCTTCGGACAGAAACTGCCGATTCACTCACCTTCTTCTCCCTGACGTCTGCGATCTCGGCCAAACAAGTGTTCACTCTCGGCCAAACAAGCGTTCTGAACTGGCAACTCCACGGAGGACATTCTGCATCATGGGGCGAACGGAGAACTGATGAAGATGCTGACTCCGGAGCATTAGGAACAGCGTTTTTTTCATGGATCGGCCCAGCATAAATTATGCTTTAAGGGGCGACCAGTCCACAGTCCGTAGACGCCTACAATTTGTGAACGGAATGTCAAAATCTTCGTCTCTTTGGTGGCTTCCTTTTTCCGTTACAGGGCAGCCTTTTAGGTGCCCCAGAAAGAATCGCGCATGTGTCCAGCTTCGGGTGCTGGGCCCTGCTCAGATTCCGAAATTCCCCTCTCAGGAAGGTACATTGCCCCCTCTTGCTGAGGACCAGGCAGAGTAGGCCAAGACGGACTTCCTGGCAGAGGCGCGGCGCCCATAATGGTCACCGTGAACCCCAGAGTCTGTTTCTTAGCTGTAGTTGGCCACGCTGAAGACGTCCAGGTGCCTATGCGACGATCTCCCTGAAAGGGGGAGAGGGGGGGAGGAGTTGGCCGGGCGGCGTACGATTCATGGGAGGTTCAAAGCAGGCCTTAGGGTGTAATGTTTCGTGTTTGGGGTTTAGGCGGGGAAGCCCTGCGCAGCATGACATCTGCGCACAGGACAGGGCTCGAAGATGTGTGGCGCGGGACCATCTGCTATGGTTCTGGCTGCAGATGCGCCCTGAAGGAGGGCCGGCCAGGACTTCTGGACCACTGATGGATCTGAAAAACGAAAACAAAACTTAAACCCTACACCGCAAAGCCCTCAAAGAGCCCTTTCTAAAGTCTCGTAAAAACTAACCAAGCTTGTGCGGGTTTGGGGATGCAGGTTTCAGGGTACCAGTACCAACAAACCTCGAATCCGCTTCCCAGATCCCTTCCGACAGCCCCTCAGCCAACGTGTGCTGTGCGGCCTATTCATGGTGAAGCCGCGGCGGCCGCCACCATGGTTTCGCGTGCGCTCGCTGGCCCTGGCATCCAAATGACTCGGAAATCTCTAGATCCAAGAGAAGTTATATGGGCCCTTAATAAGGCCCCTTATCTCCTTGAAAGGATTCTGATGTATGCATCCTTAATTGTATGGGGTCTGTAAGGGGTATATGAGGGGCATAGGGAGTAGAAGGGGTCCCTTCACGGGCCCATACTAAGGGACCATGTAAGTACCCTTTGACTAAAGCTCAAACCCCACAAACTTGTTTCCTTTTGCAGACTGAAGAGTTGCTTGTTGAACTTCACGGGCTAAGGCCAACATGCTGACCCCCCGACCCAACACCTCCGAGAACCCCTTGGCAGGATCGGGAGGCTCGGGAAAAAAGATGCTGGGCAAGCGCGTTCAAGGATAAGCAGATTCAAGCCAGAGTCTACCAAAGTCAGTCGTAAAGGAACTCTTGGGTGCTTATTCATAGGGTTGTATGTGACAGGACGCTTGGGTAATTACTTTGTTGGCTGCGTTAGAGGTACGCAGCAGTCATGGCGGACGTAAGTGTTCAACGGAAGGCTCAAGGCCCGATAAACCTACCAAGCAGCCAACCGATACAGCAGGTCTCGAGCCGTAAGGGTTTACAGTAGATGCTTAAGCCATTGCGACCCACAAAGGAGTCGCCAAACCCTCAGCAACTGCCCAACTCGGATCGCTTCTTTAGGCCCCTGCTTCGCACGCAGCGCAGTGCGAGGCTCGTCCGCAGGGGCCTGCAGTTAACCCAGCTGGGTTTCGGGTTTAGGGTTTCGGCTCTAGAGGTTAGGGTCTAGGCTTTAGGGCTGGGGCCCTTTACATTGGGATGGTCGAGGGTTTAGGGCCCGCTACCCAAAGCAAGGTCCGAATAACCTATAATGAAGCCTTGTTACGACCCGAAAACAAGACATGCAGAGGCTCGCAAGCCATCAACCCTGCTTCATAGTCACATCTCTCCACAGTTGGGTTCAGGGTTTAAGCCTGAGGGCTTGAAACCCTGCGCCACTTGACGGGACATGGTACAAATACCAGGGTATTTTAGAAGTCCAGTTCAAGCAGCCATAAGGACCACATAAAGCCTTAAGTTTGCTTGGGGAATTTAGCCTCTCCCTTACAACACCGAACCCCCCCCCCCCCCCGCCTTCCCCCACCACCAGGTCGCAAAGACCCCCCAAACACAGGCCTCCTGGTGAGGCCTTGATCGTCCGGCGAGCGGCGCGGCTCCCTGCGCCGGGTCTCGGAGTGCAGGGCTTGGGGTCACAGGGGTTTGGGGCAGTTGAGGTTCAGGGGTAGTTCAGGGCTTAGGTGAGCCCTTGCAAAAGAAGACCCGAAACCTCAAAATCCCATACTAGTCATGTTGCTACGCTGCTGAAAGGGCACTTTGCCAGTTGGCGCTACCCATGAACCTCGGCCCAGGGACTCCGGATTGAGCTTCTGCTTAGGGCTTGAGGTGTCTGACCACTGTGCGTACAATTCTGAGCCCAAGGTCTTGCGAGGGCCACAGGCGCCCCAGCATTGACAGTTATTGCTGGCTGGGTTTAGGATTTAAATTTAAATTTAGGGTTCTGACCCCAAAGTGAGGGCTTCTGGGGTCCAGGCACACTTAGACTTGCCTCCCTAAGGTGCACCGGTATTTGGGCTTCTTGAGGGGCTTTGGGTTGATCTTTTAGCTTGGTGTAAGGGTTGGAAGATGTTCGAACTTACGCACCGCCGAAGGCTCCTTGTCCTTCTCCTCGAAACCATCCCAAAGACTGGGGTCAGCGAGAGAGAGAGAGAGAGAGAGAGAGCGACTTTTCGCCAATCCGGCAAGGTGGGTGAACACCTGCTGCCACATGAGGCTTCATTATCGGGTCGGCAACGAGAGATGGTTGCCATGGATTTTCATGATGTCGGTGTCCATGATCTGACGTTCAACGGTCGTCAAGACTTTGGGGTTAGCAGCAGAACCATCTCTGTCCATGACGGCCAGACTGTCTGTCCACTCTGTCAACCTACCGCGCATCCTACTTGGCAGGCGAGTTAAGCTGTTTTAGCTCGTAAGAAGTGCAAAGCACAATCTGTATACACGCATGTTGTCCCTTTGCGCAGTGTCGACAGACTGGGTACGGCCCCGTATTGAAGCCGCAGGAATCTTGCCGTCCTACACATGCCTGGAAAAGGCCCCGCATTTGCGGGGCCAGGTGCGCCGTTCATCCGGCGTCTCGTCGTGGATCTCAAACATTCATCCGAGGCTGGGATCTTTTCTTCCATTCTGCCCCATACTTAGACTCGCAACCCCTTTTGGGACAGGCCCCGGGGAGTAAGGACGGAAGGCTCTCGGTGAAAGCCGTCATGTGATCATGTGACCCAGATGCATGTCCGAAAGCAGACCTCTGCTACACCACGGATGTCGAATCTTGGAATCAGGTCAGCAAGTTACTACAACAGTTTTACAAGTGGGTTTCTTTCTCTGTTCATTGTCGATCAATGGCAACCTGGCGCCAGCACCGCTCAAAGAATCAGCCAGAGCCGGAGAACTTATCAAGAAAGACCTGGCCACCAGAAGACTCGCAGGGAGCAGTAAGCCCGTCACCGCAATATCACAGCCCCTACCCCTTAAGTTCAAGCCTGGAACGTTCAATACTAAGGAGCATTGGGGGCAGGTTCTACATTCGGGGAAGGGGAATACAGGGCTTCGGGTGTAGGCCGAACAAAACCCAACAAAGCCCAAGAAACCCCGCAAAAGCCCAAGGACACAAACTCCCGAGGCTTCCGGCACACAAGAACCCTGAACCGTGAGATTCAAGAGGCCCACCTTAATATTGGGCCTTTCTTTATGGGACCCTGCGACATGCCGAGGCCACCGAGGCCACGTGGAAGGGCGGTGCAGCGGTGGCGCCCTGCACTTTGAGCTTCGAGATTTTAAGGGCGTGAAGCCTCTCCAGGGTCCAATTTAGGGTTTGGTTTCGGGGCCCAATTTGAGTCGAATGGGTATTTTGGGTAGTTTGTCATCGAGCTATATGAGGAATAGGGGTTTCGGGGTTTGAGGGATTCTCGAAGGTTTCGGGTTCAGGCCTGGGAGCCTTCGATCCGATGTGCTTTGGACATGTTTCTTGGGAGCTGAGTGCTGGGGACTTGTTGGGTTGGTTGGGGGTGGTTAGGAATTCAGGTGTCGTCATGATCCCAAAAGGCTGGTTCCTCAGCTGATGGACGGGGGGCCCAAAAACGAACCGGACCGATGGTCGAAACAATCTGCATGGACAGGAGCTCTGTACCAACGAGGTCTGTGGGAGTTTAGGCTTCAGCCTTAGACAAAATCCGTGAACAGGCCCCTCTTCTTTTCTGACCTGGGGCCCTGGGGCAAGTTGGGGCTGGCAACTTTGGAATATATCAAGAGTGCAAACTGAAGATAGCAAGCACAGTCCTTTAATGCCATGTTACGCTCCGTTGTGCCATGCGCTACGGTGCTGAGGTTCCCAAAACCCTAAAGCCTACAACTACAACCTAAAGCCTCAACCCTTAAACCCAAAAACCCTTAACCCTTAAACCCTTAAACCCTAAAGCCCTAAACCCTCAAACCCTGGACCCTAAATGCTAGACCATCGCTTTGAGGTTAAGCCGGCGCGCCTGCAGGTCCAAGTTCTTGATGATGACCTGGTGCTGAAACAAACCCTACAACCGAAACCCTAAACCCTAAACCTGAAACCCTAAACCTCAAACCCTAAACCCTAAACCCTCAACCCCAAACCCTAAACCCTCAACCTCAAACCCTAAACCTTAAACCCTAAACCCTAAATCCTAAACCCTAATCCCAACCAAAAGGGCCCGAAGCACCAACCCCAAGTCCCCTCTAAACCCTTCAACGGAAGATCCGCAGGTTGAACCGGAGGCAGGAAGCTCTTCTGTTGAATTCGGGGGCACCTGCACCGAAATCCTGAGCCCCCAAGCCCTCAGCCTTGCCCTTCAAAGTCGGGTTTAGGGTTTTTAGGGTTTTTAGGGTTTTTAGGGTGTTGGGCTTAGGGTTTAGCTGCTGCTTCCCAGTTGAAGTGGGGTTGAAGGGGCTTAGTCGATTTTATGGGCCCTCCTGGCCTCCTGCTCGGCTGGGGCTTTCTCATCGCCTGCCGGCTTTTCGGCTTTTCGGCAGCAGTGACAAGCCTCAACCCTAGCCCCAGCACCGTGATGTTGCCCTTTGTTTAGTGGCCCCCCACCCTTCTGAGCAGTGGAAGCTGATATTGTCCCTCTTTAAACGGGCCACCGGGCCCTTAATGGCCCTTAATGGCTGTTAAAAAGGGATGAGTCGACATGAGTTTGAAAAGAGGACCCCCCAAACCCTAAGTCCTAAAGACCTAAACCCTAAACCCTAAACCCTAAACCCAAAGGGTCGACGTGCCGGGCCTCCTCCGGGATCCTTGCCCCGCCGCTTCCTTGGAGTTTGTTCGGGTTGGGATGTTCGCCCTGATACTACCACCAACAGTCCTTAATAGGGACTATCAGAGGGGGTACTAGAATGCCTGTCGAGGACTGTTAGTATAAGGGGGAACATCCCAAGGTCTAGGGCTTAGGGTTTAGGGCTTTGGGGCTTGGGGGGGGTTGAGAACTTTCCCGACACGCCCACTCCGCAGAAAGCTCAAGCTGTGATTTTTAGAGAGGTTGTACTCCTGAGCATTTCAAAACCGGGGCTACGAATTGAAAAGAGTTGAGTCCGGCTGGAGACCCAGAACGAGAGAAACAACACCAACAATATATAAATATATACTACTTTGCAGGGCGTTCAGAACTTGGGGTTTGGGTCTAGGTTAAAGGTTTCGGCTCATCAAAGTTTAGGGTTTAGGGACAGGGGAAGCGAGAGCAAGAGGGGATGGGCTTGGTGATTCCGATCTGCCACCCCACATCCTCCCTAAACCCTACAGCAACCCCCCAACCTCTAAAACCCCCCCCAAGCCCCGCAAGCACCTCTCGGACCCCCACCCTGCCAGCCAAGAGAAGGGCGCGCCCAACACCTGCAGAGGGAGGTCGGACTTCGTGGTTTACGGATCTAGGGTTTGCTTCCCAGTAGCCTAACAATCCAAAGTAGCCATTGGCCGCCATGGGTAACCCATGGCTGCTTACTCATGGGATGGACCCTAAACCCTACACTCCCTTTAAACAACAAGGGACTCGGGGTCTAAGTAACTCTTAGGGCGCCCATAGTTCTGCAAAACCAATCTGAACTCCCAAAAACCTAAACCCAACTTGGCGGTTCGTGGGCACTAAGAAGTAGGGTTTGAAGTAAGAGGCACCCTCCACTGTGATCCCACTTGGGTACTTCCGGCCAGATACAACTAGCCATGGTCAAGGTTGTATGATTGCTCTCTTTTCTGATCAGAGCTGCATTTCCATGCGGATGTATTCCACGCCGCTCTTGAGAAATATGGCACCGCCTTCCACTGCGTGCATGCCGCGCTTTTCGTAGAACTGCGCTTGGGTCGCGCGAGCATCGCACCACAACCGTTGTACACCCTGCTGCCTCGCTTCCTCGATGACATGCTGAAGAAGCATGGAGCCAAGTCCCCTGTGCTGCTGTTCTGGGGCAGTTGCAAACTTTCTGAACTGCGCTTCCCGACCATCATCGGTGACAAACAACGACATCACAGACACAAGCTCTCCAAGCTCTCCACTTTCATTCTTTGCATCCAGCATACGTATGCCCCAGTGCCTCCCTTGCGGGTCACATGCGAGCGCAGCCAGGTCGGGTCTTCCGGGCCAGAGTACGCGCTCACGAAGGGGATATGTTTCCTTGAAATCGACCTCGACAACTTCCACTTTGGCCGAGGTCATGCCTTCGGGTCCTGTGCTTCTTGATCGAAGCCGAACATGGCCCGAGGGAGGTCGCCGCTACCAAGCGATGCTACTCATTCTTCATGCTGGCAGCTACCACTCTCACTTTTGTGCCTGCGCACACGTGCAAGATTGAGATTGATGTTTGCAGAGTTCTTCCGGGCAAGCTGCAGTGCTGCGAAAATCAACACACGTGTTCGCCCTAGTTGCCGAAGTCTCCCGAGGCCGCGGTGTGTGTAGGGGCATGTTGCAGGTTCTGAATTCTGCAGGTCGGAGGCTCAAGATCCAGGGTTGTGGGTGTTGGGTTGTGGGTTTAGGGTTTATGGTTTAGATCCCCACCACCCCACCCCCAGATCCAATCGTGCCTCGGCCGAGGAGTGCCCCAGAGAGCCCTGAGCAGGGTATCGATACCTATTGACTGACATGTTCTTCAGGGAACAAGTACTTTGCATGTAGCATACACGCCATGTAGTCCCCTTTATCTACGAAGTACCCATGCCACCCTAAGCCCTTACAAGGATTAGCAAGATGAACAAACTGTTGAAAGCGAAGAACGGCCAACCGGTCAACAGAAACAATCAACTCAAACCCCACGCCCCAAGCAGCCGCCCGCACGCAAGCACCCGCCCGCACGCAAGCACCCGCCCGCAACGCACGCACGCGCGCACGCAAGCACGCACGCACGCACGCACGCACGCACACACGCACCCACGCACCCACGCACCCACGCACCCACGCACCCACGCACCCACCCACCCACCCACCCACCCACCCACCCATGAAGGCCTGTCTCCAAAGCGCATGAAGGGTCTCTAGCTTGCGTATACAAGTTCTTTGAGGCTTGCAGCTATTCGTGTAGCACCCACACACACATGTACCTCTTTCCCTGCCTGACCTGCGTGAAAACAGGTCGAATCTACATTGCACCGGCACCCTATTTCGGGAAGCAGGGATGTAATGGCAGGAACCGTACACACTAAAACACCCAAAGCCAGTTTCCGTGCCGAGGCTTCGGCAAGGTCGGTGTCAAGCAAGCCTCCGGCATGCATTTGGTAGCTTTCTATAATGGGGGGGTTAGGCTTTAGGGATAGCCCCTAAACCGAATACCCGGAAAAAACCTTATAAATAGCCCTACTCCAGGAGGGGCCTGAAATACCAATGGTCCCTTGTAACTTCGAACAAACTTTTGCTGCGGGTTGTTGTGAGAACCCCAACATAAGATTCTGAAGCACTAGCTACAACAACAAGGCTTGAGTGCAATTCGGGTGTAGTGTTGAGGGCTTATAGAATCGGGCCTAAGCTTACCTGGGTTCCTGGAACAAGGTTCATCTACCCGAAAGACATTCCGGGTAACTTGACAAGGCTTGCATGGTCGAGGATGGGACGGGCCGAGGCTTCCGGGCCACAGTTTCACGGTTGAGTGTTTTTGGGGCTCTTTGGGGTTATCAATGCCCGAAATGGGGGCTGTTTGGAGGTTTGGCCCGTAGTTTCCAGGGACCCAAAACCCTGAGATGACTATGAAGGGTTCAAAGCTGAGGGAGTGGGCCATGCTGTAATGCAAAGCTTGGGCCCAAAACCTCTCTAACCTCTGAACCCTGAAAACCCACGCACGCTTTTTCACTGCGGATAGCCCTTGGCATCGCCCGCGAGCTTGGTGAGGATCTCTGACGCCGCACGCCTCCCCGACAGAAGGGCCCCGTGGACGGTGGCAGGGAACCTGGCGACATGAAGTTCCGGGCTTCGGGCCCCGGAAGAATCCAGAAAGTTGAAACTGACGAATACAGTCTTGCGAGCACCTTAAACTAACCTAAAATGCCCCGAAAACGCCCCTAAAACGCCCCCACACCATGTCCCGAACTCCGCCTGTCGTGGGATGCTTCGCCGGCAAAGTGAAGGGAGCCCAGTGGCGCAGCCAGGGCGTGTCTGTCCTGCGTCGTTGCCCCGACCTGGCAACGAGGGTTTCTTCGCCTGAATACTCTAAACCCGGAGTCTTGTGACCCCGTTCAGGATGTGGGCCTTTTTTGCCCTTAACCCTTAAAATGCTCAGCTCAACGGTTTCGTATGCGAAGGAAACAAGCGCCGTAAACCATGAACCCACTTAGGGCGAAAGGGCCACTTAGCTGTTTTGGTTTGGCTTCTCTGCTTTTCTGAACCTATGCCCAGACACAGGGAGATACGAGTAGCCTCCGCAAGTCCACTCATCCTCGGCCCACCTGCGTGGGTGGAAAGCTTCACAAGGTTAAAGATCTAAAGGGCAGAAAAAACACCTACCCTGCAACAATGAATAGGCCCTCAAAGAACTGGAGGCTTCCTAGTGGGCGGCCTAAGACTTCGTAAGACTTCGAGAGTCTGAACTACCGAAGACTTCGGGCTGACGAGCCACGCTGTCTTCTTAGCCTCGAGGAGCTTGGCCGCATCAACCTCCCCAGGAGGGAACATCGACTTCCTTAATGAAGGCATTTCAGGATGGAGGGTTTGGGGTCTGGGGCCCTGCCCTCAGAGGTTCACGCCCCTTGGGGTGCAGCGGGGGATCCGGAGCCCTCTGAACCCGAAACCCCTCAGTTTTACACCAGGCTTCAGCAGCGCCATGGTCTGCTTCACCGCCTCCTCCTCGGTCATCTTGGCCATGACCCGCCCTGCTCCAGTGAGGAAATACGCGACGAGCACATTGCTGCCGGTGACTGGCCGAAGGTTGACCCAATACCTTAGGTAAGGGCTTTTGTAGGCCTCCGAGCTTACAGAGTCTTGAGTTTGCCTAGGGGGTTTCGGCTTTGGGGGGGGGGTTTCAGGAATGGCGTGCTTGCGCCAACACAGCCCGCGTGCTAAGCCCTGAAACCTGCAGCCTGCCTTTTACAGATCCTTATTTCAAGTACATTCATGACACTTTAGAAACTTGTTTTCGTGCCAATGTCAAGACCACAGCTGAGAACCCCAAGCTCTGGGAGCTCTGCCTTTCGCCCACAGCGTGAAAGCGATTTCGCCCCGTGAATTGCAAATCTCCTTAAGAAGCCTTAAAGGGACGAACGAAGCAAACGCAAGCAAGGGCGGAAAGAAGGTCCTTGCCAAACTTTTTCACGGCACTGAGAGATGCAAGCCATAGGGTGCACGGTTGAGGTGGGAGAACGACTTCGTCCACGGAATGCTTGGGGAGTATTGCGATCACACAGCACAGGGCCATCCGAACTTGGACCCCCAGCCCGAAGCACTCTCATAGGCTCTACAATCAAGCGGCACCAAACGCTGTAACTTGGACCCTTCATGCTAGGGCTACGGGTAATCCTTGCCGTTCGGCTCTACATGGCCTCAGCTTGGCTCCCAGATTTCACAGATTCGGCAAGGGCACGGCGCCTCGCAGGCGTTGGGCAAAGTGCGCGCCTCGCAGGTGGGAACCCGGTTCAGGCAGTGCGGTTTGACGTCCTTGCTCTCCCAGAAGCAGCGCCTTCGACGTCTGTGAGGTTCAAGCCAATGCGGTCATAGTGTCATTATGAATATGATGACTATTATTGTTATTACTATTATTCTTTGATGATAACACATGAACCACAGCAAAGTTTCCTAGGCCAGGGGGGGAGGGTTGCCGAGGCGCTCAAACCTTAGCGCCACCTTCTCCATGATACCTTCGTGGGGAACTAAGGCATCAGAAACAGTTTAAGGCTTGGGGTCCTCTCAGGAAAGAATATGCATTGTGTGGCCCCTAAAAGGTGGACCTCGGGGACTGTCATTGGGATTAGACCCCTAAGCCCCCAACGCCCCCAAAGAAGTATAAAAAGGTTACCCACTCGGCGACTAGGTCGCCCATGCCCAGACTCCGCAGTGCCTGGACCTTGGCGTCGGGTAGGGGTGGCTGAAAGAGCCGAGCGTGGTCCTCGGCTGTGCTCTCTATCTTGCAGACTTTCCAAAGCTTTCGGGCTTGTTTCGGCCGATTCCTGAAACTCTGAACATTACCTTCATTCATTGCTGCAGCTGGGTAATTGCAACTTTGCCAGGGCAGACAGAGCTTAGGCTTTGCGGCGGCATACGCCTGTGAGCTCCGAGTCACAGCCAAGGGTCCCGCTGGAGGACGCCAAGCGGGAGCGTGCAAACACAAAAGTCCGCCTCAAGGCTTCGGCCGTCACGCAACCTCACTGTGACCGGGGGCCGGCTAGAATTCCCCTCCGCACAGTCCACACACTCGATCCTCTCAACAGGCGCTTCCAGGATCACCTGGGTTCCTGCCGCCAAATGCTCAACAAGCTGCACATAGCCGGCTTGCCATAAGGCGTGCTCCCCGTCGAACTCATCGTCGATGTCCCACCAGGTCGAACTCATCTCGTCTGGTGTCGCGGCATAATCAAATTCCGTCTCACCTGCGATGGCATAGAGCAGCAGCAACTGTGAACGCTGGTCCAGCTCATCGATGCCCTTGAAGGCTTTGGACTTCAGGCCTCGCAAGGTGGTCATGAGACTCTGATCAACAATCGGCCCCTTCTTGGCCGCCTTCCGGTCAGCGCCCTGCTTCGCGCTGAAGAGATGCCAAAGCGACTCGAAGAGCTTGTAGCTGCGCTGCATCTCAGCTTCGTTCATCTCCGTGGCAGGATGGGGCTCAGATTCAGTGCCGGTAGCTTCGAACTCTATGCTGTTCTCCCAGTCGGTCTCCACTAGTTTGGCTCCGCACTCCTTTGCAAGCGCCAATACCGGATTGGACCTCGATGTACCATGGATCCAGGCTGCACCGAGATCTACAGCTGAGCCATCTGCAAAATGCTCGGTACGAACACGTCCACCTAGCCGATCTCGAGCCTCCACCACTGTGACCTCGATGTCTTTTGCAGTCTCGCCCGGTTTCGTCCTGCGGCCAGGATCCTTCAGGCACGAAGCAGCGGACAGGCCGGCAATGCCAGCACCGATCACCACGACCCGTTTGGCGGGCGGGTGGCCTCTCAGCGCCGGCGCAGGGCCCAAAGACATTCGAGAGTGATGGGATCCTTCGGTGAGGGGCACAGGTCCCGTGCGCTGACCAACGGCTGTCATCGACTGCCACACCTGTGATCGCACCTGGGAGCCCAACACCAGCAATGCGATCGTTTGTGCAAAACACACACTGTAACTTTGCAGGCCCGTGCTGCAGTAGAAGGCGTTGCGCTTGCAAGCCCCTGTCTCCCGTAAGCTGCAGCTACAAGTTGGGATCTCGCACGGACCATGCTTCATGTTCAAAAGCACCGCCGGACATTTTCCCTCTGGGCATTTTGTGATCACTACTGGGCGGCGTCAGCTACGGACGCCCCCTCGTCATTATCAGGGAATCTGAGCTGCACTTAGGCTCAGGGCCATGGTGCAGAAACCCCAAACTCCCGAGCTTCGAGTCTTAGAGTATTCGGGAGCTGTGTCCAGGCACTGGAGCATGGCTCACAGTCCTGACATCACAGCAGGGTGGAAAAAAACTGGAAGCCACTTTGTGCCTTATGTGAAACTTCGCACATGCTTCGCGAGGGGAAGAACACTGAACATGAGCAATTAAAACCTTCAAAAGGAGGTTGTCCCTGAGGAAAGAGCCCGCGTCTCGGCAATCGCATAAGGGCTCTGAAACTCCTCACAGGAGCTTTTAGAGCGACCTCAAGCTCTTGGCAAGTCCACTGAAGTCAACAGGTCAACCCCCAGCACCCCAGCACAGGAGAGTCCACAGCACACCAATTGGGCTCTTGCAGAGCCTCAGCCCAAGTCCCCAGTTCGGCTCCTGCGACCATTCATTTCCGCCGTGCCACTAGCACCTGGCAATCCCTTCCGAATCGCGGTTGTTCTAAATTCGGGCCCTTCTTCGGGGCGTGGAGAGTGCTTGTTGTATGAAGTTCTTTGGCGAAAGGTACCTATAAGGGGACTCGAATAAACATTGTAGAATCACTCCGGCACTCTGGGTTCATGGCAGTAGGCTACGCGAATGGGCAAGCACACTCTTTTGCAAATTCTTGCACGAGGAAGTACCGCCTCGCCTAAAACGTGGCTTCCGCCGGAATCGGCTTAGGGTTTCGGGTTGACATGGCAATCATGCTGACAAGCCCCACACCTAGTGGACCTAGCGGATTCACGGAGACCAAAGGCTACCCCGGCAAGACCCGACAGTGACACGCGCATCGGGGCCTCTTGGCTCAGCCCTAAACCTGAACCCTTTTTAAGCTCTAAACCCGAACCCTTTTTTTAACATTCCCCAAGCGGGTCTGAACCCTAAGCGGGTCTGAGCTCGCCTCGACTTGGCCCAGAAGGTCCGCCATTTGCACCTCCCAGGCTCCGCTTCAAATGGCTTCGCGCATGGTTGAGCAGTGGCTTCCAGGCTTCTCGAGTACGAGTTGTTCAGGGTTCGGGGTTCGGGGGCTTGCAGCTAACGACATCTGCATGCTCCGCCACAGCACTCCTCCTACCACCCCCAGTCTTAGTCCACGCCCCATGCCTGCTATTGCTACTGCGAAAGTCCCGCTGTAGGTAGCTCTTGACATACGAGGTGAAACTTCAGCCCTAAACCCAAAACCTAGTCTAGCTTGGAACAGCCCCCATAAAACATAGCTCCTGTGGCACCTGCATAGAGCGAATCATCAGGTCCACGCAGACGATGTCACTTCCTCACGCCAAGGAACCAACGCAGAGTCAAAGAGGCTTGCCGAGTCTGGGGTTTAGGGTCTGGAGTCTGGGGTGCAGGATACAAGTTGATTTAGTTGATGAGATCATAGGTTTCGGGGGTTTAGGGTTGAGGTTATGTTTGGTTCAGAGTGTAAGGTGCAGGGTCTAGGCCTGGGTTACTTTGGGCAGCAGAGCCGTCTGATAGTCATGGGGCTACCACAGACCCATGTTGCGCAGGGTGAAGGGTTTCCGGTCTCAGAGGCTACCTCTGAAAAGGCCCGTGGTGAATCCTCGGCCCTAAATCACACCCGCGGGCTCAGAGCTTCGCTTTGAAGATTCGGCCCGCAACACCTTTAGTCCCGGGCCCTACCATACACGAACTCCTGAGCCCTGCGACTGCGATGTGGAGTTGGGCTCATCAGTGGCCCTTGATAGCCATTGAACCCAGTGAGACAGCCCAAGGCTGCCAACAAAACACACAACACCACGACTCCGAGCAGAGATCCGAGTAGAGCACATCTAGGAGCTTCAGGGGTTAGGGTCTCGGGTTTAGGCGCCGTGGCACTTGAGATGTCCCCCCCTGAGCCCATGGACCCTGAAACCGCACGTGATTTTAATGCCCCTTATCGGAGGGCCCTAAACCACAAACCCCAAACCCCAAACCCTAAACCCTGTTTAGATGGGCCCTCTTTTGCGGGAATTGCTTCAGCTGAGTGCTGGACGCCGGGGCTCGCCGCGCAGCCGCCGGATGCCTCCCCAAGGCTTATGCTCTGTTTAAGCTGGCTTTTCTCCACACATTTTTGGCGTTTAAATTAGTATGTTGTTCTCCGTCATGGTTCTTAAAACGAAGAGCTGCCAAAAAACAAAGTGTCTGTAGTTGTCCCTTCCTGAGAAGCAACCGCGCCGTTGTTCCTTCCTGAAAAGAAGTCTTGTAGGACGGCGAAAGTACTCAGCGACCTTTGTTGTGAGCTTCTGGTACGGTGGCATGGTCCAGCGTTTGGTTTGGCACAGCTGCCTCGCATCCCAAGCGCCTGAAACAAGGGCGCAAAGCAAAGCAAGACATGCGTGTCATGGGGATCTTGATGTCCTGGCCAAAATTGCCAGCAATTACTTGAGGAACGAACCACCTGAACCACCCAACAGCTTTGAGTCAAGCGTTTTCTCATTTCGGGGAAGCAGCGGAAAATCTGCAGCTGTGAGCGCTTTGGTGTAAGCTCAGCCTGTGAGTATTGTGCCCTTGAGAATGTACCCAGGGCTTCATGAACGCAACTGGCACTCCCGAGCGGATGACCCTCATCCTCAACCTCAAAGCCAAGAAACCCACACTAACTCTCAACATCAATTCTCCAAATTTGGCTTGCTTACTTCAAGTGCTGAGGGGCCATAACATAATTAACGGGGACCCGAAAAGGGCTGAGGACACCTTATCCCCGCCTGCGGCAACGTCTGCCAAGGATATGGTTCCACCATTGTCCTTCGAGCGGAGCTCGCGTTTAGGGTACAAGGCCTGCTTTAGGGTCCCAAATCCTTCAGCTTTCTAGGGGTCATGTCAGATAATACATCCCACCATATCATAGATAACTTGGGCTTCAGGGAAGCTAAGTGTAGGGCTCCCCCACATTGTTCGCCTCACCCGCTGATGCCCCTCCTCTGAATCCCCTCCCCGGCGACCCCCTATTCCCCCCGTTTTGGTGAAGTTTCTATGGAGCACGGAGATTCACGCAGCGTTGGGAGTCGGGTCTCTCGGCTGGACCTACCAGGGTATGAAGTCCGTTTTCGACGTCTCTACCATCAAGGTAGATAACCAGAAACCTGGTGTGGAACAATCCACGCTGTTTTCAAGTACGGAATTCTAGACAAAATTGGCTGGAGGAACGATCGTTCCTTTGCCCTGCATAGACGACGTAGACATATCGTCAGGAAGTGTCCTCACAAGTATCCAAGTCACAGGACCGACAAATGCGGCATTCAACCAAACATCCAGGAAGTTCGTTCGATTACGCCAACAAAAAGGATCAGACATGAGAAGATCACTTTTTCCTCATGATTGGATCGCCCCCCCCCCCCCCGCCCCCGAAAATGTAGCCCGTGCTACGGATTCGGTGCGGTAGTGGCGGTCAGGTGTCTGTCTCTTCTCATTCTAGTTGCAGGCTGGCGCCTCCCTTTTCCAGAACTTTAGGCCCAAGCCACACTGCTAAACCCCAAAAGCCTCTGCGCGCGGCACTGGGTGGGGCCAAAGCGGGCACCCTAGATAGAACCAAAACTTGCATAATCTAAAGGGCACTTCTGGTTTCTAAATACCAAGACTTGATTGCTTTATGACGCTGCTGCATTTCAGATGACAAGCGTAAAACAGTTAACAACCCCTCAAACCACAGCCGAGGCCGAGGCCGGATCAAAGATGTCAGACAGCCGCGTCCGATCTTGCGGGCTGATATCCTCAGGACGAAGGTTTTTTTGGGTTCAGGTCTCAAAGTTTTAGGGGGTTTCCTCAAGAGGTTGAGATAGTTATAGGTTGCTTGTAGCGGTTGAAGTATGGGTACAAGATTCAAAGGTCTCAAAGGTCCTACCCCCAAAGGCCCAGGAGTTAGGCCTGGAGCTACCTTGGGGCTTTTGAGGGTTTAGGGGGGGTGGGGCTCAAGGGGGTTAGCCTGGCGTCTTGGCATTTAAGGGTTTGGGCTTTTCGGGTTCCAGTTCAAGCAGCCAACTGCACCTGCTTGCCGTCAGGGGACTAGTTCGTCAAGGATCTCCTTGGCCACCGGATCCTTGCTGGTTGAGGGGTGGATGCCGTTTTCTCAGGGCCGGGCGTAGAGGCGTCCCAGGATGGGTGGATTGGACTAGATTGTTCAGTAACCCATGCAAAAAATCTCTACTTTCTCGGGCTAGTGCTAATGCCCAAATTTAGAATTGAAAATCATGCGTCACGCGATCCTTATGTTTTATAGTCATTAAAGGCCCGTTCTTGCATTCACTTTGTTCATGCGGCAGTATTATTCAGGAGCTCACGGGCGAGTAAGAGAAATACGACATGCTCGCATAACAATATCACCGTCTAGAGAAAAACTCATATGAAACCAACCATAAGATAGACCAAGGTGAAGAGTCCAGGAATTCTACTAGCGGCTTGTGCGTTCATGCACTCCATTCATTCCTTCTAAGTTACGTGCATTCACTTAGCATACTGTAGTAGCGGCCCAAAAAAACCACACAAGGCCGCACAGAAATAGTCATTTTCTGCTATACCGGGAAGTCAAACCCCAAAGGAGCATACTACCGAACAGCCTGGTTGAAGGTTGTTTCAGGGTAAACCTTTCAATAAGAATACTACTTACACTACTTACAATACTATTGATGACGCC